GACGCCGCTACTCCTCAAACGCTGGTCCCTGCTGCCCTCTGGTGGCTGATCATTCTCCATCCCTGTATTTAAGGCCGGTGTGGAGAGGCTCTTGGACACATCACACGTTTTTTACGGGTTCTTTCAATAATTCATTTTCTAAGTAATTCCAAACTCCTTCTTGTTATATGTTGCCATGAACACACCTTTCCCTACTCACTACATCATTTTTCAACCTTCTGTCATTTTCATTTATTGAAAACTGTTGTACCGTGTTTAGTCTTTGTAGCACATATAGAAGGTTCCCGATTTAGGAACATTCTAGGTGCAAACTTTCACAGATATGAACAGACTTTACACTGTACATTTGTGCCAAAGGTGTATAAGTGTCGTTGGTTGGACTTGTACATTACTTTGACTTGCCAGCCCCACCCCCAGGGCACACTGAGATGGCAATTGAGACTGGGCGTGGTGGCACGCACCTGTAATCCCAGCCCTTGGGAGGCTGTAAACAGGCAGATCTCTGAGTCTGGTCTAGTAGTGAGACCCTGAACACCCTGTAGACCCTTCCCTAAAGTATAAAAAATTACTTTGACTTACAAACATCCTTCTGGAACAAAACTCATTGGTAAATTGGGGAATTAAAGTATCGATGACTTTGTAGCCCAGGTACTTCTCAAGATCATAAACTCAAATTTTCTTCCTCAACCCAAACATGCTATACATAGATACTTTGAGAACTTATTACTTGTCTACAACCAGATTTAATCATCAAAGAGTATTTTTTATCTTTAGATATTTAGGTTCTGTATAGGCCAAATAATGTTTTCTCTCTCCAGCAATATGTGCATCCTAATCCCCAACATTCATGAATATGTTGCCTTCCCTGGCAAATAGTCTTAAGTGTTAGGAAAGGGGGAAAGAGACAGAAACAAGTTCACATGACAGGTTTATTTCAAAACCAACTGGAGAAGCACCACCCCAGCCCTAGAGAGACTGGCTATTCTTACACAGGCTGTGAGGGTTTTCATAGGGCCATGGGCATAAGGATGGGCCAGATGCGCTACAGAGGAGAGTGATCACCCATGAGCAACAAGGCTTGAAGATGCACAGGGAGTTGTGCTTCCTTGCCAAGCACAGGACTGAGCAACGATGGAGTGATGGATTGCAGCTATGGTTCCTGGGCCTTAGCAACCCATGATTACACTTTCGTAGCAGGTACATACGCACAGCAGGGGGATGGGGGAGTTCATGGGCTCTCTGTGCTTCTCAGAATGGAGCAATCAGATTCTTTCATTAAGGATCTTGAGGGGGAAGATTGCCCTGCATTATGGATCACAATGTGATCACAAAGGTCTCCATAAGAGGAAGGCAGGAGATTGAGAGTGAGAAAGAGATGTGACAACAGAGGCAGAGGCTGGAGAGATGTTGGCCACAAGCCAAAGAACACAGGTGCTCTCTAGAAGCTGGAAAGAACAGAAAAACAGATTGTCCCCCTCTGGCCTCCAGAAGGAATACAGCCCTGCCAACCCATTTCAGACTTTCAGATTGGGAAGACAATGAATTTGTATTTCTGAAAGGCACTAAATTGGTGGCAATTGGTAACACGGTAACAGGAAACTAACACAGGCCCTAATATAACAATCCACAACCATAAAATTTTGTTCTTAGGGTTGAGGAGATAGCTTGGTGGTCTAAGTGCATGCCTGGCAAGCTCAACGACCTGGGTTCAATCCCTGGTACCTCATGCCGTGCCTGCCCTGGAACCTCTGATATTCCACACTGGAGTGGTGATGCACACCTGTAATCCCAGCACTGGGGAGACTTAAACAAGATACTATGAGGCCAAGCTGCATAGCAAGACCCTGTACCAAATAAATGAATAAATAAAACTTTCTTAAAATAAACATTGTTCTCCTCACTCCCTTCTTTCTCTTCAGTACACCTAACCTTATCTCACAATTCGCTATCTCTCCTGGCTTTATTTCCTTCCTTGCACACCAGGGTCTTTAATTCTAGTGCCTATTTCTCATAATATCAAGGTCTTAACCACTTATTATGTATCTACCTTTTTATCCACCCTGATATTCCCCAATTGGCAACAGCCAAGCTCCTTGCTTCCTTCTCTCCTACACTGAGAAGCGCAAAAAAAGTCATTCAGCACTATCCAGTGGTGCCGTTACACATCCAGGACCTGCAACCTCAGCTCATCCTCAGTCCCTCTGCATTCCCAACCTCCACACAATCCCCTTCGGCGCACAGAGACAACTGTGCTCCCTCACGCTTCTGCACTCACCAAACCTCTCTTTAGGAAGCTGCCGTGCCTTCTGTCTTTGAGAGAACGTGGCAGTGTAGCAGAGCTGAGTGTAGTCTGGCCTCTTATCCCAGTGCCCTCTGCTCTCTGGTCCCTGTCTCACTTGCGTGCTGTTACGTAAAGGACCTCTCTCTCTTTACCAATGCCCTCTCTCCTCCACACTTGCATAAAACACACTCAATTCCTTTCTACTTTGCAATGGATGGCCACACTTCCTATGTGTCGCCCAGTCCTCCAGTTAACCATTCCTGCTATGTGTTTCCATTTTATTGCACGCACCTCTATTGCAAAAACTATAGCACATCATGTTAAGCATGAGATGATGTTTAATTACATTTTTCTGTGCATCTCCTCTTTAAGCAAGGTGAAATGAATAATTACGTCATTTCTATCCTGTTATACTATCGCACTAGGCTGTTCATGTTATGAAAAATAGTAAGACAAGAAAGCAGGACCTTACAAAGGGTGAGTGGTGTGGCCAGACAGCCTCTCCACACAGCACTCAGGTACACACACACACACACACACACACACACGTCGCACTGCACATCAGTCATGACTCTCACCTCCTCCCAGTGATTAATCTGTTTGGAGATTAAATATCCCAGACCCCTGGGCAGAAGCGCATACCATCCAAATGACAAGTGCGTTGGCATGTCCATCAAATCTGCTTCAGAATCAGGAAGACACTCTTGGCTACTTCAGCGCTCCAGACCATCTGGTCAGGTGGCATCGTGCCCACTTACAAGGTCAGTCCCTACTGCCCTGAACATTCCAGGTCTTGCATCAGTGCAAACTTTCTTTCAGCTGCCGTGAAAGGTCCTCAGCAGCATCCTTAGTTCCTCCATCACTTACTCATACATTTTAGTTCCCACTTAGGTGGCAGGAATATTTTTCTAGGACTTTGCTGGTCTGTTTCTGAGAACAACGGAACGGTCTGGAAAGGCAAAGAGGAGCATTGTCCACTTCTTAGGTTCCCATTCTGTGTAGAACTGAGTAGCAGTGGAGTGTGCAGTAAAAATAGAAAGTGACACTTTGGAATTTCAGGGATGTTGCCAGTCTATTCACTGGACACGTCGATCCTGAACTGCACTGTTTGCTTTAAAAGTAGTCAGTCATAAACCACGCTTCACGTCTAACTGATGGCGCATTTTGTATTAAAAACAGATCTTTGAACCAAGAGTAGAAATTGAGATGGCAGAAGAAGCTGCAATATGGTTGTTGTTGGCACAGTCTGTAGCTGGAATTTGCCCGAAGATTCTTTTCATCCTCTGTGGAGTGCTGCTGTAGTGACAAAAGGCTGCTCATGGCGGTAGGCAGAAGACAGGCCACTGGGAGCCACGCCCTGCACGGGAACACGTCCTGTGCTAGTGTGAAAAGAATTGCTGCATCGCACACAGGAACTCCTAGGATCGTGGCGGGGGAATGAAACCGGCTTCACACCACAGGACACAAGGGCTTGTACACACGCTCAGCTCTATTGTCAGACAGTTAATCTTCCTACGGATTAAAGTTGCCTACTACTGAACCTCAAAACAATCAAATATGGAGAACAAACCAAATCTATATAGTCTGGTTTCTCTGCAGACCGTATAAATCTTTTACCTTTTAACAAACCAAATATACTACGAATTTATCTGAAAACACGTCTCCACCTCTGCCCTCATTTACGTTGCATTTAGGAGCAGGAAGGGAAAAGAGAAAGGATAGAAAGAAACCCTCACTCCGGAAGAGCAGAAGGGCTGCCTCTTCTCTGGAGTCCCTCTAGCCGCTGCAACTCACAATGGTCTTTCCTCCCGCTGAGTACCTATAAGATTTGGTCTTTTCTTGTATACCATAAATGTATGTGTCTGTCATGTACGCCTCGAGTTAGCCCAAGGGGCTTGGGGACAAGGACAGCTTCCATTTTTTCACACTACCCATCACAGTGACAGAGCACAGTAGACGCTGCAAGTAGTTGACTGTTTGGGTAGGGCCATTAGGAAATAACCCCAAATCTCACACCTGGTTTTGTGATACAGTGTATTAAGTTTGAGGAATAAATTTGTTTTTGTATTAAGCTTTATGACTTTGAGTTTGTTACTGCTGAGAACACAACTTGGGCTGTGAATTGGGAATGGAGGTGGGTGCTGTGAGCGAGCCCGTGAATGCTAAAATCCTATCCGGCCAAAGAAAACACGCCCCGTGTGATTAAAATAAACTGGATCACTTCGTCCCGGCCGTAAGGGATGCTGGTAGACAACATTTAATAATGAGAGCTACAGCACACTTTACAGGGGCTGGAGCTTAAGTCCGAGTCTGCAGAGCTTGCCGCAAGGCTGCACTTGGTTGGGCGGCGCTCAGCCCTCGAGCGCGCAGCCTCGGGCTGGGCCCGGCTCGCGGCGGCACCACGACTCCTCGCCACGAGGGGGCGCCGGCGGCGCCGCCC